TTCAACTTTTTCCAATAAACCGTAGAAACGGAGTTCTGGAAAGTTTTAAAACATCACTTTGAAGGACTTTTTTTAACTACCATATTAGTAGCCGCTCATCATCGAGCCACGTAATTTTGTTGAGTTAATTTAAACTTGTCTTTGTATCGCAGATTTTGTGCCTTCGCCCAAGCATAAAGACGCTTTTCAGCTGGAAATCATGTTTGTCTCCCTAACACTGTTGCTTTGGTTGACCCTCCCATTTTCTGAAGCGAGAATAGCTACCAAAGGTGAATCAAACGAGCTCAAAGAAGTGAAAAAAATTACCAAAGGTGAATTAGAGGAGCTTGCAAAAATAATATTCCTTCCGCACGTAAACTTATTGGACGACTTTTCAGAAAAAGAGAATAGGATTTTTGATTCACTTTCACCAGAATGCCTTATAAAGAAGACCTTAACGTCGTCAAGCAGCAAGTTCGATTATTATAAAAATACCAGCGAATTGTATCAGTCACTGGCCTCCGAGTCAAGCCTGAGAACATCCTTAACCTCTACGTTTACTTTGGGTGCCACTGTATCAGTGGCAACAGACAGCAAAAGCTCACAGAAAAGCGAAGTGAGTGGCATATCTTTGATCAAGCAGGCGTTGGCAAAAAAGATTTACGTTAATAAAGAATGCCTCACAAGTGCCAAAATGTCCACCCTGAATAAAGAATTCATGGAATCCTTAGGTACATTACCATTGAAAATTAAGGAACCCTGGCTCCACAATTCGTGGAAAGCATACAGCACTTTCCTGGAGAAATACGGCTCTCATGTCATAACGTCTCAAGAGATCGGATCAAGGTTCCAGCAAATGGTGTTCGCAGAGAGCTCTAAATCGTATAGCGAAAGAGATTTCCAGGTGAGAGCCTGTATCTCGGCCGCAGGTCCCACAGATGTTGGAGAGCTTGGTCTTTCGGCTTGTTCTAATGTGACAAACAGTGAAATATCCAAGGCAATCGATATGACTGTTAGCGAGACAAGGTTTGTCAGGGGAGGACTAAGGGATACAAATAGCGCTTTGAGTAATAGAAATAAGTCGACTGAACTGATAAAGAAACTAATGAATGAAGCTGATGAGGCACCTAAGCCGGTCCAGCATACTTTGATGACGATCTGGAGCATATTACAAAGCCGCTTTGAATCAGGATCTAAGAATTACCACCGAGCAACAAACCTCCAGTACTACTACAGTGGATACTTGGATTATGGCTGTCCCCACAGTAAAAGTGGTAATGTTGAAATTCAAAAGTTCGACTACAAACAGCCAATGAAAGAAAATCCAGAATTCGTATGTACTCTCGCTCACGATGGTTGCCATAACGATAACGATTGTCATTACGTAATTGGCGTCAAGTGTGCTTGCAGAGGAAAAACGTGCGTTCGCTACCATTCGGAAAAACAAATAACAGGTCAAATCAAACAAATGGCATACATCAACAACCACAACTGGATGTGGGAAGGATGCAATTGGAAAAAGACGTGGTTCGAGTGTGGTTGCTAGAATAAAGATCGCAAAGAACGGAAGGTTGTGTGGTTCCTACCAATTACGTCCAAAGATGCTGGTAAACATAAAGCACCTGGCAACGGAACCTACGACGAGGCAAAGGATCCTGTTACAGATAAAGCGTGAGGAATACCAAAACCTTAACGGCTAAAGATGCTGCCAAACACTCAACACCTGGCAGTAACAAGCACCACGCAGGAAAACATCCAGTTCAACGGAAGGAAGAAGAAGAAGAAGAAGATATGTGATCATTCTCTTATCTTACATGTAGTCACTAAAATGGCGAGCACCTAATTAAGCGAAAATAAAAACTGGAGTAATACAACAGTTGGCCATTCGATCAGAGTTGGACAGCTGTACTTCAAACATTTCTCGATCAGTTACTTGGATTGTTGAAATGTAAATCCAATTAAAATGTTAAAATAAAAAGGAGTGCATTCATCTGAGTTGAACTTATTTTTGTTAAGGGAAAAGGGGAAAGAATAAATTAAAAATAATTATCAAAAGATAGAACTGTTGTTAGCCTAATTTCTCTATTTACTTCAGTATCTGGAGAAAAATGAAATTAAAAACTGTCTCGTTTAGCGACCCCGGTGTTAAGTTAAATTAGAATCATAGACATGGTTGGTCAATATAATACTACTGTGGCCGAGCAGCTTTTTACCACATCTGGGTGAAGCCAAGGTAATGGTCATGGATTACAGAACATTTTCGGTCCTGTTCAAATGGCAAGACGGGGTCAAACATTGAAGCCAAATAAAGCACGAGCAATGGGCAGGGCTGAAGGGATAGTTCGTTTATATCATAAAAAACGCAGTAACAATGTGTTTTTATTTATCAAATCAACTAAAGCGTAAGACCATTGATGGTGAAAAAACGGTTGTGATTGGTCTGCAGTAGTTTTCTTTGAGTAAAAATACGTTCGATGTTATCGATCATGATTGTTGGCTAGGATGAACCATGATAAATTTAGGGAGTACCGTACCATAAGTTGAAGTCTTATTCTTTAATCGCACACATGGATGCCTTTTCATTGGCTCTCGATTTGGTGCCTGCTAGCAGAGTGACAACCCGTGAAGTTTGAGTCCGCGTGATGTCACTTAATTTGACAAGGTTAATGTCCTCTTAATTAAGTTCACCAACCATTCATTTGGCGAATTTAGTTTCCTCCTCTTTACTGACGTCCCTCCAAGTACATTGAAATATGTGCCACTCTCCAAAATGGTCCTCCGGTTTCCTTCTATGTCAGAGCAATTACCAGAGCCTTTTGATCCTTACTTCACTGAAAAAAAGATCGAGTCTAAACTAAGTGGTAATTGTCCAAAATACAATTCCTGGCTTATTTCAACGTGCATGTGCTATGCGGGTCTAACAATTGCATACATTGAAAGCTCCACAATGTTCAAAGCAAACACAGATGCTTACACGCTAATTAAATAGTGCTTCTACCATCATGGACACACTCCGGCCTACCATTGACAATTGGCAATTGGCAAATGAAATTTCACCTAGATTGAACACTAACTTTCTTGCATGATTACCATCAGGACAACTAATGTCTAGGAAGTAAAGTTTTAACGTTTAGTCAATTTAATATTGGAGCATTCATCTCATCTATCTTGCATTTGCGTGGCCTTTGAATTCTTAGGTTCATTCTTTTACTGGCAGTTCTCTCTTTCTGCTTTTTTCGTGTGTTCTAAATAAATTTAGCCTGCAAAGCAAGCGTAATTTTGGCGAGCAAGTGCTGAGTATTCCCATAACGAAAATTATGGCCATCACCTTTGATTTTAATGGCAACGGAAGGCTGGAGAGAGAAAGATATTTGTTCCCAGGGGGCGGTCGTCGGTCAAAAATAAGAAGGGTAGGGGTGATTAAGTGAAGATTACGCCTGCCCGAAGTCATTCTTATTTTGAAAAAAAATTATTTTTGCCCACGAACGGAGTTCCTTATTGGTGCGGTTAAGCTCCAGCTATCAGTCATAAGCAAAACGCGTCATAAGAGCATCGTTCTGACATTTCGCTCTCACTGGACAAAGAGAAAGACGGCGAACTCTAATTGTAAAGTTATAAGTTTCGATTCCGCTCTCGAGGAAGCACGGAATTTAACACGTCTCGCGCACTAGAATCGGAACAAAACGAAGCAATTTCTACACTGGATTGTCATTTGGAGGATATAGAGTGCGGCAAATATGAACTCGTATTTACGTCAGCAGAGAACGTTTTGGTAAAACAAATTTTTTTCGTTAATGAAATAAACAGCCACACCGTTTCACCAGAGTATGCCGGTTTGCATCAAACAAATTATGGTGGGTAAACCTTCGAGTGCAGTTGTTTGTTGCTTCCAAGTATCGTTTACGACTAAATGGAAGAAAAATTGTTAAATCGATTAAGGGCAGCTTTACTCAAGGATTTTCGTTTGAAGAATATGGATTGAAGCAAATATCAGCTCACATTTGTGGTTGCGGAAGAGGTTTTGTTGAGGCCTTTTCGTTCCTGGCTTTAAAAAAAATGGCTCACCGTTTCACTCGTCAGCTCTACGTGTCTCATCATATACCACATTTTCAGCAAAAAAAAAAACATGTTTTGAGCTTTCAAGAAGATGCTGGCTCAAATCTCGGTTGTTAGCAACCATATGGCTCTTGGGAGGACTCCGGCGAGTGCGAAACACCTGCAGCAGGTTTGCACGTCAGTAAATAGAAGACTTTGATTAGAAAATAAAATGATCAGTTAAAAACTTGTTTCAAAGGAGACTAATTATGATGATCATTTACCAAA